TTAGCTCTAATCAAGTTCTAATTAATACAGTAGAATTCCATTACATTTTTATCAGTTTATTAGAGAAAAAAAAAAGTTTAAAGGAGAAATTCAGGTAAATGAACCATTTCAACACTAATAAAATTGGAAGAAAAATACTAAGATACAATAAAAAGCTATTATTCTTTAAAAATAATATATTAAACGGGAACATCCACTTTAAAAATTCTTTCTACATTTTTTAAAACCTCAATTGACAAAAAAAACCAACTGAAAAATGACCCACATTTCTAAGATGTCAAGAATACTTCTTTAAATCTTCAATAAAGACTGACATTTAACTTGGTAATACTTGAAATTCACTCCTAAAAAAGTGCTGCACAAGACTTGTAAGACCTTGTGCAAACAATGAAACGTAAATGCTCTTTCAATCAATACAGCAAACACACAATTTGTGCACAAGACAACGACAGTTTAATATGAAACGCTCTTTCACATTTATCCCCAGCAATGATTTTCTACGAGGGAAGTTAAACGCAGCCGTGGGCACAAATTAGTTGCTTGCCATTTAGCAAACACTGCAAAGCAACTTCCAGCACACTAATTGAAGGGCCAGTCCCGCTGGAGCAATCTGGGGTTAAGTGCTTTACTCGCGGGCACAGTTATTCCACAGTGACTGTAAGAGTCCAGTTACTACCGCAATCGCACTGTAGACTCAACCTGATGACATACTTGACCATTAGGATACAACCACCTCTATGCATTTACTAGTTGAGCGTAATGCCAGCTTTTACTGTTATGATATTTGCTGGCCTCTTTCAGTAAGATTAAATGACACTTCTCCATATGAAGTGAATCAATGAGCTTTACCATAGTAAAAATCGGCCTCTCATGGATTTTTATTCTAAATATTATAGATAGTAAAAGAATAGTTCAAATAATTTGAAGTTAGAAATTTGAATTCGTGTGAATCCATTTCTTATGATACCAACGTCAAAAGCCATGCGTCAAACTCACTCGGCAGAAGCTATGTCAACGTCAACATGGATAGGTTACGTGATATCCTTCTCATCCTTAAAAACCATTACAGTTCAAGGAATAACAGATTTAAATACATTAAACATGGTGTCAACCATTATATATTATTTCCCACTCATTCAACATGAATGTCACAATGCAAAATAAATAGTTAAATAAATAACTAAATAAATTAAACATTAATTTGTTTTGCATATTGTTGGTTTCGTGTAATATTAATAAATTTAAAAGTTTACTTGTACAATAAACAATTTTGGTACAGCGCTGGGTTGCAACTTAAAGGGTTAGTTCAACCAAAAATTCTGTCATTAATTACTCACCCTCACGTTGTTCGAAAGCCGTAAGACCGTCGTTCATCTTCGGAACACAATTTAAGATATTTTTGATGAAATCTGAGGGCTCTCTGACCCTCCCATAGACAGCAAGGTAACTACCATGTTCAAGGTCCAGAAAAGCACCAAGATGATCGACAAAGTAGTCCGTGTGACATCAGTGGTTCAACTGTAAAGTTACGAAGCTACGAGAATACTTTTTTGCGTAAAGAAAACAAAAATAACGACTTTATTCCACATTTTAGTCTCCACTTTGGACGCTAGCGTGAGCACCGGTACACGCTCGCGTCATGGTACTGTCGTGAACACGCGTTCACATGTGACGCAGTGAATGTGGAATAAAGTCGTTATTTTTGTTTTCTTTGCGCAAAAAAGTATTCTCGTAGCTTCGCAACTTTACAGTTGAACCACTGATGTCACACGGACTACTTTGTCGATCATCTTGGTACTTTTCTGGACCTTGAACGTGGTAGTTACCTTGCCGTCTATGGGAGGGTCAGAGAGCCCTCAGATTTAATAAAAAATCTCTTAAATTGTGTTCCGAACATGAACGAAGGTCTTACGGTTTTCGAACAACACGAGGGCGAGTAATTAATGACAGAATTTTTAAACTCTGGGTTCTGAAGCAAAACCAGTTGAAAGCCACTGATTTAGAGCACTGGCAACCGTTCACAACCTTCGGCATCAGATAACAGTGATGATAAGCAGGAAAGCGAGCAGCTCTGGACGGCATCAGGGATTAAATATCTCTTCTGCTATCCCATAAAAGACCTTTATAACAGAACTGCTTAGTTTTGCCATCTCCACATGTCGGTGCTGGGTGGCTGACTCAGCTTCGGGACAATAGCGGACCACAGCGGAAACACATCATTCTAATATGCTGATTTGCTGCTCAAGAAACATTTCTTATTATTATCAATGTAGAAAAAAAAGTTGTGCTGCATAATATTTGTGGAAAATGTGATATATATTTTTACAATTTTTAATTAATACAAAGTTCAAAAGAATAGAATGTTTTCAAAATTTGAAATTCAAAAATCTTTTGTAAGATTATAAATCTTATCTTTACTGACACTTCTGATCAAATTAATGCATCCTTGCTCACCAAAAGCATTATTTTCTCTCAAAATGTATATCAAAAACTAAAAACTAAATCCAAACTCAAAACAAGCTAAGAATATAACCATGCAGATGAAACAAGCGAGTAAAATGTTACAGAATATATCACAGATTTAAAGTTGATTTAACACTATATACTACACAAACACAATATTATGATTCACTTCATGATCCAGACATCTAGAATATCATAACATCAAATGAACATCCTGAATGAAAGATTAACACCCATAACACAATTAGGGTTGGGTACCGAACTCTTACTTTTAAGGGTACCGACTGAATTGCGTCAGTATTACCGAGTACCGATTCACGTTAAATCAATCGGTGCTAAATTTCGGTACCTGAGAACACATCTGGGCGCATACGCTACAGAGAGAGAAAGAGAAACCCTGTGACGTGAGGTCACCCCTGCAACTTAATTCGAATCGCGATATGAACTAGTGTCTGTGAATATTAAAATGCAAAAAGACGGTTTAAATATGAATCCTGCATGTTCCGCTTGTCTCTGTATGTATGAATGGAGGAAACGCGGTTTTGTTTACTACACAAATACTGAAGCACGCGTGACGCTCGTGGTGATTTCCGGCCTCTGCGTCTCACTATATGACGGCATGAACACAAAATGGGGGGGGGGGCTATTGTTTGTAGGCCCTATTGTTCAAAATGTTGAAATTGAGACTTTTGGACTTATTTTTTTACTGAAATAAATGTTTTTGTAATTACACAGAGTAAAGTACCGAAAAAAGGTACTAACCCTAAACACAATACAATCTAAAAATAAACAACCTATGACCGGTCCCTTATTGTAGTAAGCTCACACTAGTCAAAATACCCATCAGATCCACTATATTTGAGATGGTTGCTAATTAATCTCCAAAGCGCATGTGGAAGCATCCCATGACTGCCATCCGATGACTTATCCGCAATCTAATGAGTCCACGCTGGCAAAGCTGCAAGAACAAACTTGCTTATCGCGCCAGGGGTGGTAATGCCAGATCTCAGCAATTCACAGCATTACAGCTCAATCTGGCAACATGGCCGCATGATAGGTTTTAACAAGCCACTCCTCCACAACAACCTCTTCTGAGGCCCAGCTAAAAGCCTTTCTGAAGCAGAGACGTGAGATGAATGTGATAAAACACGTTCCCAGCTGCTGCACGGATGTGCCAGCGTGTTTCGCCGCAGAGTAGGTGCGATAGTACTTTCTGACCTTAACGGCCCCTGAGCCTTCCCAGCATCCCTCTCCATCTGCCGGGCGGCCACAGGAGAGGACTGACCTGGCTGGTGCTGCAGTTAGAGGGGAGGCGGTGAGGGAGTGCAACCAGAGGGCACTGCTCTGATGCTGGGAGAAGTTCTGCAGCGTTATAGTCGCAACACCTGCGTCAATCCTGGCTTCACTCTTGCGCAGATCAATAGCAGAGCGACTATATTTGTATGACTTAAAATTCTAAGCCCCAAAATCAATGTGAGATGTATTGTTCTCTTGGCCTGCGTTCACCAAACACAAAACGATGATAAAAAACTAAAATATTAAAATACAAAAAGACCAATTAATTTTTATGACTTCCCACAAACTTCCAAAACAGAAACTGCACTCAAAAGGAGTCATTTTCTAATCTGAGAAATAATTTCTCACAGATCAGTGTATACACAACATAATTGTACATGAACTTTTAAGATTTTATTAATTACTATGACTTTCCCAGGCCTAGAAATCATACTTTGGAAGGTTTTCAAGGACCATGGGGACCATTTAGGATATTACGGAAGGTTGCTTATTAAAGTCAAAAGGATTTTTTTCTGAATTTGAGTAATTCAAAGTCCAATCAACTTGAGAAAGTAATAGCTAAACTTTGGATGGAAAAATCACAAACCTTTCAACTATGGGTTTGTAGTATAACATATCATATTAAAGATCGATTTAGAGCTCAGGAACTGCATATTAGCGATTTTTGTAAACTGAAATTTGAGCTCCAAAATAATAAAAAAGATCTAAAAATATATTTTTACATAGTATTTGGTTTGCATTTAAGCTACTTAAATAAATAAACATCTCAAAATACTGTATTGATGATCTCATGTCAAGAATTAATTTTTAGTAACATTTTTCACCGTAATATCTTAAGGGGAAAATAGTCATGTTAAAATCATTTTACATATCCTAATATAATCTTATCTTCTGGTTTGCATCCGTCAATTTCCCCTCACAATACCGCAATGATACAGTAATGAAGTCAAAACAATTATACAAAAAGAATTTCACATTAATATTTTCACATTCATAGAATAATGTAAACTGGTTTTCAGATTTTGACTAAAGATTGTGTAGATAGAATTTTTTTCTGTGGAATAACATGCACATATTAGTTGTTCACCAGCAGACTAGTAATGTGCATGTTATTTTTACATAAATTAAAATGATCTAATCGTTTAATTTACATCCATTAAGTTCCAAAAGTAAACAAATAAACCTCTTCAGATGAAATAAGAACATTTAATATGTAAAGTATTTAAATAGCCTCAATCAGTTGACATGTCTTCGGTCGCTCAGTTATGTCATACACACAATTCTACTCTCACCTACCTATTATAGTCAATGTTTTAAGTGGCATAGAGGTTACAGACTTCTATCGGGGCACAGTGACCCCTTATTCGCTGAGCGGCCATGAACCAGTGGCACAATCACACTGTCCCTCGTGAAAACTCCTTTAACTGCAGAGCTGTTAACAGAAGTGTTGGACCACGCAGGGCTCGTTTCAGCACACTGAGTCAAAATACAGCTTGTTCGATCACCTGCAAATAGTCTAGCCTAAAAGCAGCCGCACAAAGAGCAGAGACCTTGACAATCTCTTTTGTGTTCTGCATGTACTCACTGCTGCAGTGCTTGTCCACTCCATCACCCTGAGAACTGCTTAATCCCGCCTCCTCTCCCACAGGTTTCCTGGTCGCCACAGCGCTCGGAGTGACGGGTGGCTGCGGTGTGGTCTGAGAGGCTGGGAGAATAAGAAAGCATAAGTTATTGCAGAGACAAGGACTGAACTGAACAAATATCTGACACATCTGACAATATGCTGGCTAAGAAGGACAGAAAACAAATCTGCAGCTTTTTTTCTTCCTTGAAATGTTCTTCCTGTCAAGAATAGTGTTTAATTTGTAGTGTTTTTTTATCGTTTTAATTTTTAATAATCATTACATTTTATATTTTGCTAAATTTATTTATAGTACTACTTTTTTTCTCAGACAGTATAAATGACTCCTTATACATGAAAATATATGACCTCTTCAGAGATTTCAGAAAGATGGTCGCTCACAAGGGGATCATCGTCATCATATTCTACAAAATCATCTTCTTGCCTGCCAAATGCTAAAATGAAAAAAATCCCAGAGGCTTACATTGAAGGAGGGATTCAAGCCAGGACTAGAAAATCATAAAAGACTTGGTAGTGGGCTTTATCACACAGTTGAGAACTTCTTAAAGATCCCAATAAAGCAGGTTTTGTGGCTGTTATAGCATGTCTGTTGTATAGCAAGACAAAATTCACTTCAGCTAATAATGTTATGGCCTCTGGGAAAACAGAACGAAAATATTGATGATTCATCCTGCACTCACTCATTTTGTCCAATCGAATGCACTCTAGATTAATCATTTCCCCGCCCTTGATACCACCTAGGTCTAACTAGCAATGTTAAATAGTAAATCATGCTGGAAAAAAAGGAAAGAAAAGAAAGGAAATAAGGGACAAGCCTAGTCCTAACTTTTTGTTTTAACAGACAATAAAGCAACAAAAGAAGAAGAAAAATGTCCTCATCAAGCCATTTCATGGTGGTCTTTAATTCAGATGCAGCCCTGCTTCAAACTTACACACCACAATACCGATAGCCATAACTTCTCCACTGCACCATATAAAATATTCAGCAGCACTTCTCTAGAGCAGGTCATTTTTTACCCCACCGTATTCGTTCAACTGAACCAGCGCAAAATGAAAAGGAACCGAGGGGTGGCCCAGAAGGGGGCCGTGTGAGATTTTCGTTACAGCAGACACAAAATGAACGAATTAAAGGAATCTGAGGTAAATCATTCTGAGAGAAAAGCCCCCTGGTGATTAAAGGGTGGTGGAGGGGCTGGTCGCCAAGACTCTCGCAGCAGCTTTTAATGAGAACTCTCTTTTTTTTTTTTTTGTCCTGGAATTTTTTTTTATTCTTTTTCATTTAAAAGTGAACAGAGAAACATTATGTGCCTTTGAGGATTAAACCCCTAATACTAATGTTAGTGCTTATGGGTGTTAAACAAGGTGCTGGCATGCATGCTAAAATCTAGGGCTGAATCCCTATTTGTATACTATTCTAAATGATACCCATAGGTCCTAATTCAGATGGGCTACCTGTTTTTTGTTTTTTAATGGTATATCAAAAAGTGATAGTTTTAAAATGTGATAGTTGGTACATTTTACCAGTTTTTACCATACTTTCAAAATAAAAATTAAAATAGGAAAAATATGCAATATGAAAATAATTGAAGACAAAATGTGTTTTACTGAGAAAAAAACAAGATTTGGTTTTTAAAGCGCCTTTTTCCAAAAGGTACATCTGGAAAAAGGGGGGGTCGTCTTATAATCAGGGTAGTCTTATATTCGGGCCAATACGGTATAATATATATATATATATATATATATAGACAAGCCATCTAGAAAGTAAAATGACATTTTACAAGTTAATTTAGAAAAAAAAGGATAAATAAATGAATTTATTTATATGATAACTTATTTATAATAGAAATATACATTTATTATAATATATCATTATAATAAATCATTTATTATGTATTTATTGTTAAAAAAAATAGATTTTTCTAAATGGTTTAATAAAATAGCTGTCACATTAACAGGGCCTAATGAAATCCATTAAATTTTTTTCCAAATTCTGTTTTAATTTCTCTGGATTCCGTTTTTCGCTGTTTTAATGGTTAAATTAAAAAATGTTAATCAAAAAGCAAGTATAATTAATTGAAATCATGAAACCACAATGTAACAGCAATGTATAAAAATTAACAATTAAAAATGTTAAGGCCCTGTGAAAATACGTTTGTCGGTTTTATTTTAATTCTTTTTTTTTTTTTTCTCATTAAATTTGAATAATCAAAAGCATCTCTTACTAATTGATTGTAGTAGTAGTAGTAATATCATTACATTAAGTAATATATTTCTGTCACAGTTTCTTCAAATTAAACCAAACCATTATTTTGATGGGTTGATGTGAAGACCTTTAAGTCTCTGTTTGTATATGATATGACGATAGTTTTTCTCAAAAGAAACTGCAAAATGCTCATGAAATGACTCTTAGTGCTGTTCTAGAGATCATGTAGTCATATATGCATGTGGTCATATATTACATATACATCACGGAAATCATAGGGCCCTATATTAATCCAAACAATTGGTTACATATGTACGATACCGATACTGTTTCTGTGTTTCAAATGACTCGTTCCCTATAAAGTGAACGCCAATAAGTGGTCTAAAATGGGAGCATTAAAAACAATAAGCAACTGCAAGTATTCACGTGTACATGTGTTTTGAGCAACAGGATTGGTTTGTGGCAGTTTTCTGATGTGGTACACAACATCAGTCTAGCTCAAAGAAACCCTGGGCTAAGGACAGCCTGAAGTGCTGGGTCACCTCTCTTCCTGCAGGACTCCTTGATCTCCTCGCACATGCGGTCAAACTCGGGGTCCAGTTCAGAGGCGATCATGGCGTGTGCAGTATCCTTCAGACCGCAGGCCCTGTGGCGGATGATTTTATCTGTGAGGAAGCACAATGGAAGGCCACAGTCAATGAAAAATTCATTTGGGTAGATGGAGGAGGAGCCACGTTCTTGAAGACTGACAGTATGATTTCTGGGTATTAGGGCTGCAATTAATCGCAAAAAACAAGTTTCGTAATTATTCCAAATTTTAATAACAGTTGTTTTAAAGTATATTCTATTTATGGAAAAGAATAATTGTGATTGCATTATCAACGGAAAATGATATTAGATATTTTCTTATACATTACAAGTAATGCGTTATTTCACTAGTTACTTTATAAAAGTAATCTGATTACATAACTTGCATTACTTGTAATGCGTTACCCCCAACATTGGCAGCAACCACCAATAGGAGCAAAGAAGTTAATGTACATAATGAACCTAAATGGCAACATTATAGAGAACAATTAAAAAAATTATAATAATTGAATAAAAAATAAGCAATAAATAAAGATTATGGAATGAACAAGAACAAAAAAAGAGGCGCAACAAATCAAAATAAAATTTGGTGCTTTAAATCAAGCAACGGCTCACTGGAATCAATTAAAGATTCACTGAAGAAACTTAAGCATCGGCTTTTTTATGCGAGTATCTGAACACACTTCTGAAGCGCTCCACAGGCAGTCAATCAAAGCATCTCTGTTTACAAAAACACACTGGTGTGAGAACAGGGATTACTGTGTTTTCTCAAAGTTCTCAGAGCTACCATTTGTATTCTATCCTTATTTTTTCTCTCTCTATCATTAATCAAGCCGCTTTTAAACATGTAGGGAGGAAAATGTGTGTGTGAGAAAAGTCCTCATTACTCCAGGACGGGCTGGAGGTCAGGATCTGGCAAAGTTTGCCTCTTAATTGGAAGATGGGCCTAATTAAGCCATCTAGAGCGAGTGAGAGGACACTCTTTACTCCAGTCAAGGATATAATGGCAGGCTGAGAGGAAGAGAGTGTAAATACACTTGTTTTGACTTTCAAAGCCCTGCACAAAGATCTCAGGCTGCTGGTGGCAAAATTGACAATTGAACAAATGGACCCAGGAGAAATTAAATAAGTGGTGCTCAGTCCAGATCCACCTTCACACTGAATTTGCACACTGTTTGCAATAGAATACCAATTTACTCCTTATTGGGTCCTGCATAGTATATACTGCACAATATCATGAACCATATAAAAAAGAAAATATAATATTAAATACATTTAATGATAATGATTAACACTTTAAACAGTAGCAGGTTACACTACTGTCACATGACCTCATCGCACTGCATGTCTAATTCTGCGAGAGGCACCAAGTAATCTTACATGTAAAACTGGTTAATTATAGATGTGCAAAACTAGAATTATGCTATTTTTAACTTGACAACATTTTAAAAGTACATCTCATGGTGGTATGCTCAGAAAAAAAAAACATCAAATGAGATGCAACAACAAAGTGGCAAATGTAGTGGCAGTTCTGTTAACTTCTGTATGTGGGATGAATTTTTTGACATATGTATATATATATATATTTATAAATTAAACTATCAGTTTATCTATCAGCTTATTTTATTTCAGGTAACAAAAATTTGCAGCAGTATATATACTATTTATATATATATACACACACACACACACACACACACACACACACACACACACACACACACACACACACACACACAGCGTTTTAACTACATAAAAATATATACAGTACTTCCCCATCCCCAGCAAAGTACATAGTTCTAGTTTGAAGGATGTGAATCGGGATGCAGACTTGAAAGTTGAAGCAGTTGGTTTAGAACAGGGCTGGAAGGAAACTCAGCAGGGAGGCTGATGTCCAGGGGCAGGATTAGGCAGCTCTGAATTAAATCATTTGAATTTTTAAAGGAACCTTAAAACTTGCATACTAAGATGTGATTTTGAAACTTCAGCTGGGGTATGATTTCAAAGCACAGATTTTCTAGGAACCTGACTTTCAAACGACCACTGCGAGACTCTCTCTTGAATGAAGGGAGGTTTCCGAACTCTATTTGGATCCACATTGCACTTCAAGAACAGAAGTGAAACTCACAAAAACAAAAAAAAAAAACACAACAACAATGAACAAATGAATGAACTAAATTATTACCTATATAACGAGGGAAAGGACACCTTAGATTTTAAGTGCAACGTTCATGCTTCACTTGTGAGAGTAATGCTTAACAAATGGAATTTGGACAGCTCCTAAATCCCATATTCCCCTGCTCTAAATGGACCAGAAGCCTCTTTCTGTTTCCTTATTAAAGTAGCTAATTGCGTTTTGTCTCATTCCTTCAGTGGCTCCTCTGTGGACGCTGCATTTAAACAAATGACCCACGTTCTCCCAGCAAATGGGATACTATGATTTATTCATAGGCACCGGCTGCATTTAGCCAACAACCTTCACTGGCTGACCAATTAATCCAGACGACTGAGAGTTAAGTCCTGACAAAAAAAATAAAAAATCTTAAGTGTTGTTCAGAAGTAGCCAGCTAGCAGACTTCAATTATATAATATAAAGTTGTCTGATTTCACTTCACCCACAAACAATTATGTGGCAATCACATGACCGTTTGCACAGGTTTTTAATATGAACATGTTCCTCTTGGTTTAAATAATGCATGCTTTATGCATGAGTTATACAGGTTCGCGTTTTACATCTGAAAAGCTCGGTCTCATTTGATGGTGTTTCTCGTACTTTTAGTGTCTGTAAAGGGGCAAAATTAAGAGGGCAAATAAATACCGCACATTTAAGCTTTTGGTGGAAAACCCAGCGTCAACTTACATAAATTCACCTTTGCATTTCAGGCACTGTTTCCATGGCTCGTTTAATTCTGGTTTAGTTTATATTCAGTGTACTATGTACATATATGGCACATCCATAAACACCAATAAATATCACAATTTTCTACACTGCAAAGTGTCCTAACTGACTGACCGTATGGCCAGAGAATAGCAAGAAAGTCCATTAAAGCGATGAATGGGTTTTATGGAGACTGCTCATTATAGTGCCATTTTTCCTCTGTGGAGAGAATCAGCGACAATGATTTCCTGTGCCTTTTGAATAAGGAAAGGTCAATGGGTTAATATCTAGATGCATTTATTGTCCTCAAATTCTCATATCTCTCAGTGAAGGACTGACAAGTCTGTCCGATTAATCATTGATTTAATGTCCTCCACGCTTCAAGTACAGCGGTCGCTGCTGCTGCAGCTGTTTTTGGTTGGTATCACCGTTTCTGAAACTCTACACTAAGTACTAGAGATGTGCACAACTGAATAGGGCCTTTCGCACCACTTTAGTTCCAGAACTAAATGTACAGTACTAAAGTACTGGGACGATTTTGCACGAACTATTTCCCAGTACCATTTAAAGGGTTGCATTCGCACAGACAGTGTGTACTAAGAAGTGACGTAAGCCGGTCGACAGCGTCGTCATTTGTGCACAGCGTTCAACAACAGAAACAAAGAAGAACAACATTAACAACAGGAGGATGGAGGACGCTGTGATCGGAGCCGTTTTTGTCGTGTCTCGCGGGTTTCACAATAATGGACATGGAAAGTCGACGTATACGTAAAGTGATTGAAAGAACGGAAAGGAGGACTAAGTATCTCCAACGACAACTGGCAGTGCTACATTTGCTACAAGTGCCTGCACTTCAGCGTCCGTCCATCTATCGCTGTTCTCCATACTTGCGAAATAAGTTGACACAATGTTTACACGGCGTTTTAAATCATGGCGGGTGAGGGCGTTTTCGTACACGTTTGGCCAATCAATGTCTACTTATGTCACGATTAGTACCAGTTGTGCTGGTTAGACCCTGCTCCGGAGTAGGAGCTAATTTAGTTCTCGAAAAAGGCGGCCCGGTACTAAAATCGCTCCCAGTTCCGGCGGTGCGACAACGCCAAAAAGTTCCACAATTAGTTCTGGTACTATGAAAAGGTTCCCGTGGTGCGAAAGGCCCTATTGACTAGTTCTGCACCAACTGGTCAACTAGTAAAAACACTATTTGAATGTCTGAAATTGATTTTTATTGTATGCCTATATATATATAGTTTGTTATAAATGTTATAGTTTGTTATAAAAATAAAAAATAAAAAAAAAAGCAAGATGGAGCCGACGGTGATGGTTGCCTCAGTGGCGTGCTCCGCAATTGTTTTTAGGTTTTTTTTAGTTTGTCCTGTCTTTAGTTATATCCCTGCAATCAGTTTCACCAGAGACGAATTGCTGGACATTCGGCAGTACACACCACCCGATATTTCACCAGTTTTCAGACGCTTCAGAACGCGTAGACAGGGGAAGCGAGCCAGCACGCTCGTGAGGCTCAGGCAGCGCGGATTCAGGACGCCGTTGCCTAGTATCCATCTGGCGAACCTCCGCTCTCTACCCAACAAAACGGACGAACTCCTTCTGCTCTCCCGGACAAATAAGGATTTTTCAAACTCTGCTGCTCTGTGTTTCACGGAAACCTGGCTGAAAGACACCATTCCTCAGTGCGTTGAGTCTCCCGGGCTTTCAGCTGTTCAGAGCGGATCGCGACGCAGAATCAACGGGGAAATCACGTGGCGGCGGGACATGCTTTTACATCAATGAGAGGTGGTGTACAGATCTAGAAGTGCTCTTCATTAACTGTAAGCCTTTCTACTCGCCGCGGGAGTTTTGCTCATTCATTCTCCTCCGCAAGCACACGTGAGCTCAGCTTTACAGAAACTCGGTGATCAGATCACAGAGACAGAACAACAACACCCGGACTCTGTTTTAATCATTCTCGGGGACTTTAATAAAGCCAATCTCTCCCGAACCAACACGCTCAAAACTGTGGAGATGATAGTGGACTTCAGGAGGAACCCCCCTACTCTCCCCCCACTCACCATCATGAACAGCACTGTGACTGCAGTGGAGTCATTTAGGTTCCTGGGCACCACTTTAGGGCCTTTCGCACCGCAGGAACCTTTTCATAGTACCAGAACTAATTGTGGAACTACCCACTTTTTGGCACGTTCACACCGCCGGAACTGGGTGCGATTTTAGTACCGGACTGCCCTTTTTCAAGAACCAAATTAGCTCCTACTCCGGAGCAGGGTCTAACCAGCACAACTGGTACTAATCGTGACGCAAGTAGACATTGATTGGCCAAACGCGTACAAAACCGCCCTCCCCCGCCATGATTTAAAACTCTGTGTAAACATA